GGTTTCACAGATCTTTTGCAGCAGGTATGAGAACGAGCAAAGTGGGAATACGAAGTCCTATACCGATTGTAGTTCACTAACACCCGATTTGTCAACAATTTTGAACCAAACAGCGCCTTCGTTCTCTTTTACGCCGACCAGTCGACAAAAAATAACGCAAGTGTGATCTACTATGCACTGAAGATGACAGCTCAACTGGTGAAGAAAAAACTAGGCATCTCCGGATAGGGGTAGAAAAATAACTAAAACGCTCCATAGGGAAGATTTCAAAAGAGGATGGAATACACTACTCATAAGGTCGCCGAAAATTCTTTGACAGCCCATGACCGGATTCGCCTTCTTTGGGGGCACATCAGGTAGGCGCAGTCCCTGAGTTTCCGTCAACCTTACGTTCGACTTGAACCCAAGTAGCACACACTTAGTGAACTGCACTTATTTGCACATCAATATGGTTTTGACGGGAGACCCATCTGGAACCCAGCACTATATCTCGTGTATGATGCCCTTAAGTAGTGTAGTACGTCTAAAAAGTGTATTGCGACATCCCAACTATCGTACCAACATGAATGTGAGGCGGCCTGGTACAGTACATTCAGTTGCTTGAAAACATCATAAACGAGAGATTCAGCTGGGTTCTAAGTGAACCCCCTGCGAAACTAAACTGATGTGCAAATGAGCGTATTTCACCAAAAGAGGGTGAACTGTGGATAGAAGAAACAGAAAGCTAACCCCAGACTTAACCGGGATGATCTCTACCCTTCAGGCAGCAAAACCAACCGTAAAGTTTTAAAGGAGAAAGGCTGGCCTAAAAGCCATCGGTTGGCCGCTGCATAGTAGGCTAGATGCACTAATTACCGGACGATAAACTGGCACCGCATTTCATTTCATCTACGGATAAATGTGACCGTTTTTTTTCACCAAGAATACCGGGCGTCCTTTATATTTTCACTTTCCTGTCTTCTGTGTTGCCAGAATATCTACTGTATCCAGGAGGCGGATTTTTGCTCTTTTTGTCTTGTTTCTCTTGCGTGCACCATGTAGCAACCTTTTGACACACGTACCTAGAGCGCGGTCCAGTCTTTTTTCAACACTGGTTATTTTAAGCGTGTATAATTTGTCGATTAGCTCCAAACAGGACAGAAGCGTCTTGCAGTGCATAGCACACATCCTCACCACACTGTCAGTCACAGATAAACATAGGTAGCTGGGGTCACTGAGAACAAAAATAACCCCAACTTGGCATCTGCTCCACAGGTTTTGTGTTTCAATTTTCATTAAGCGGACTGAAGACATCATCTGTTCTGCAGAGCGCACAAGGACTATAGGACAGGCATCTCACTGTGACACATCTCTACAATGAGCTACGCTCAGAAGAAATTCACACGAAAGCTGGTTTTGAAAACCCAAAATAATCTAACAAACTTTGAGCTTCTTTGACTCGTGCGCCCAACGTCTTACTTGAGATTCCACTTTGAAAGTGACGTCAGTTCATGCAGAAAAGCC